GGGAGGGGGTTTCACCATGTTGGCCAGGCTGGTCTCGAACTCATGATCTCGTGATGCGCCTGCCTCAGCCTCCCAAAGTGCTGGAATTACAGGCGTGAGCTACCTAGCCTGGCTGCCAGGCTAATTTTGGGGTGTGTGCGTGTGTGTGTGTGTGTGTGTGTGTGTTTTAGATGAAGTTTCACTCTTGTTGCCTAGGCAGGAGTGCAGTGGTGCGATCTCAGCTCACCAGGACCTCTGCCTCAAGGGTTCGAGCAATTCTCCTGTCTCAGCCTCCCGAGTAGCTGGGATTACAGGCATGTGCCACCATGTCCCACCACTAATTTCGTATTTTTAATAGAGATAGGGTTTCTCCATGTTGGTCAGGCTGGTCTGGAACTCCTGACCTCAAGTGATCCGCCTGCCTCGTCCTCCCAAAGTGTTGGGATTACAGGCATGAGCCATGTACCCAGGTACATAATACTTATTTTACAAAGAGAAAATATGAACTTTGCCATGAAGGCAGCTGGTAGACACCATCTTAACCAATGATCAAAATTAACATCCCAGGTAACAGGACACACGGACGTCACAGGTCTCCTGCTGTGATGTGCTGAGAAGAGAACAGAGTTACTTCCGGCGTATTCCTGCCCCAAATGCACAAACGGAATCTAGTCCTGAGAAAAGCAACAGATGTTCCCAAACTCAGGGACATTCTGCAGAACAACTGACTCCTCAAAAATGTCCTAAAATGCAATAATATATATATATATAAATTAAGGTTGTGAAAGTCAGGGCCAGCCTGAGAAATCTTTCCAAGTTGAACAGGACCAGAAAGACGTGACCACAGAATGCAACAGGTGATTTTGAAATTTTTAAAAAATAACATGATTGGGGTAATTGGCAAAATCTGAAAGAAGTCTATAGGTTAGCGAATAGTATTGTATGAAGGTGAATTTTCTGATTTTAAATAATCTTACTGTGGTTATGTTCCCACAGAATTCCTTGTTTAGTGTTTAGAGGCTGGATGTGGTGGTTCATGCCTATAAACCCAGTGCTCTGGGAGGCCACGGCCAGAGTTTGAGAGCTCAGGAGCTCGAGACTAGCCAGGGCAACATAGTGAGAGCTCTTCTATGCAAAAAGAACCCAAAAAACAAAAAACAAAACTTATCTGGGCGTGGTTGCACCCGCCTGTACTCCCAGCTTCTTGGGAGGCTGAAGTGGGAAAATTGCTGGAGCCCAGGAGGTTGAAGCTGCAGTGAGCCATGATCATACCACTGCACTCAAGCCTGGGCAACAGAGCAAGGCCCTATCTCAAGAAAAAAAAAGTGTTTGGAGGTAAAGGGGCGGTATCTCTGCAACTTACTCTCAAATGTTTCAGAAAAAAATATAGTGAGAATGATAAAGCAAATGTGATAAAAATATTAACATTTGGGGAATGTGGGTGAAGGTTGTATGGGAACTCCCTCTACTATTCTTGCAAGAACAGTACAGTTATGCAAAAAATGTTACAAAATATTATAGTATTTTCTGCCTCTGGACTCTAAAGCTATTATGAGATGTTTTCTGTGGCACTAAGGGAATCTGGTAAGCCCGTGAAAACTGGTCGGAAGGGTTTTGAGTCAGTAGAATTCCCTACCCTTTATCTGTTCTCTCTCCAAGGCCCACTCTGGGCCTGATGACTTTGGGATGGGCCTAGGTGAATTAGATTTACATGCAAGTCAACTTTATAATTTCCATATGTTAGAATGTACAGATGGCTACACATATTTAAAAAACTAATAGTGGGGAGGCCAGGTGCGGTGGCTCATGCCTGTAATCCTAGCACTTTGAGAGTCTGAGGCTGGCAGATCACAAGGTCAGGAGTTCAAGACCAGCCTGGCCAACACGGTGAAACCCCGTCTCTACTAAAAATACAAAAAATTAGCTGGGCATGGTGGCAGGTGCCTGAAATCCTAGGTACTCAGGAGGACTCCCTAAGTAGGGACTGCGGCCTTTCACTTTGTAAGAATTCCGGTGAGGACAGCTTTATTTGGTATAAAGAACCATCAGCATTTCCAATCATCATTCGTAGTGTTGGAAACTCTCCTGACTTCACCTAAAGCCTTTAGATAACTAAATCAGGCAAGCGAACGTGGTACAAGGGCCAGAAAAAAAAGTTGGGCTGTATTGAAAAGAAATCCAACTGTGTGCAAGTAGGAATGTTAGTAACGACTGGTAAATCAACCCATAGCTCTGCCGCTGTCTTCTGGGACACCAGAGTTGACTATTATGGGAAGGTTTATTGTTGTGGCTCTGATGAGGTCTGGTGAATACTCTGAAAGCTGGTCACAAGGCTTTTGAGTCAACAGATTTTTTAAAGGATTTCTTTAAGAAACTGCCTTACATGCAATAAACAGTTGGCTCTTTTCTTGTGATGTGAATCATAAGGGATATTTACCTTTGGTCAAGACGATGGAAGGTGAGGTTTGGTGAAAACAGTGAAAGCTGCTTACCAGGCTTTTGAGTCAATAGATTTTTTTTTTTTTTTTTTTGAGACGGAGTTTCACTTGTTGCCCAGGCTGGAGTGCAGCGGCGTGATCTCGGCTTACCACAACCTCTGCCTCCCGGGTTCAAGTGATTCTCATGGCTCAGCCTTCCGAGTAGCTGGGATTACAAGCATGCACCACCATGCCCAGTTAGTTTTTTATCTTTAGTAGAGACGGGGTTTCTCCATGTTGGTCAGGCTGGTCTCGAACTCCCGACCTCAGGTGATCTGTCCACATTGTCCTCCTAAAGTGCTGGGATTATAGGTGTGAGCCAACTCACCCGGCCACTAATTACTTTTCCTGATCTTCTCCTTCCTCCCACCCTTCATCCTCCGAAAGGCTCCAGTGTGTGCTGTTCCCCTCTATGTGTGTTCTCATATAGCTCCCACTCGTGTGTGATAACATGCGGTACTTGGTTTTCTGTTTGTGTTAGTTTGCTAAGGATAATGGCCTCTACCTCCATCCATGTCCCTGCAAAGGTCATGATCTTGTTCTTTATCAAGGCTGCATCTTTGTTTTATTTATTTATTTATTTTGAGACGGAGTCTCATTTTGTCACCCAGACTGGAGTGCAGTGGCATTATCTCGACTCACTGCAGCCTCCACCTCCAGGATTCAAGCGATTCTCATGTCTCAGCCTCTCGAGTACCTAGTATTACAGGCGCACGCCACCACACCCAGCTAATTTTTGTATCTTTAGTTTCATCATGTTGGCCAGGCTGGTCTCCAACTCCTGACCTCAAGTGATCTGCCCACCTCGGCCTCCCAGAGAGCTGGGATTACATGCGTGAGCCACTGTGCCCGGCCATGTTTTTTTTTTTTTGACTCCTTAAACAAACTGCCTTGCATCCAGTAAACACTTTTTGGTTCTCTTCTTGTGAGGAGAATCATAAGGGATATTTTTGCCTTTTGGTCAAGCTTGTGGGGCAAAGAGATGAGTTAGGGTAAAATATGCACTTGAAGGCTCTGAGGTTTGCTCAAAGCACTTCATTTATAGTTAAAAAACAAAGCTGACATTAAAGCATCCTTGAGCTGGAAGGGACCCTTTTCTTTGGGTATAAATATTTTTTTTTCCTTTTTTTTTTTTTTTGAGACAGAGTCTTGCTCTTTTGCCCAGGATGGAGTGCAGTGGCGTGATCTTGGCTCACAGCAACTTCTGCCTCCTGGGTTTAAACTATTCTCATGCTTCAGCCTCCCAAGTAGCTGGGATTACAGGTGCACACCACCATACCCAGCTGATTTCTGTATTTTTTTTTTTTTTGAGATGGAGTTTCACTCTTGTTGCTCAGGTTGGAGTGCAATGAGGCGATTTTGGCTCACTGCAACCTCTGTCTCTCAGGTTTAAGCAATTCTCCTGCCTCAGCTTCCTGAGTAGCTGGGATTACAGGCATGTGCCACTATGCCCAGCTAATTTCTGTATTTTTAATTTTTATTTATTTTTTATTTAAAGACGGGGTTTCACCATGTTGGTCAGGCTGGTCTTGAAATCCCGACCTCAGGTGATTCGCCCTCCTTGGCCTCCAAAGTGCTTGGATGACAGGCATGAGCCACCGCACCTGGCCATTTCTATATTTTTAGTAGAGACAGGGTTTCTCCATGTTGGTCAGGCTGGTCTCGAACTCCTGACCTCAGGTGATCCACCTGAGTCAGCCTCCCAAAGTGCTGGGATTACAGGCGTGAGCCACTGTGCCTGGCCAATTTTGTATTTTTAGTAGACATGGGTTTTTGCCACGTTGACTAGGCTGGTCTCAAACTCCTGACCTCAGGTGATCCACCCATCTCAGCCTCCCAAAGTGTTGGGATTACAGGCGTGAGCCACCGCGCCCAGCCAATTTTTGTATTTTTAGTAGAGAGGTGGTTTCATAATGTTGGCCAGGCTGGTCTCGATCTCCTCACTTCAGGTGATCTGCCTGCCTCGGCCTCCACGTGAACCGCTGCACCCAGCCAGGTACAGATATTTCTAGAGCAGGCTGGAGAGACTGGAGTTTGCTTTGTTTATAGAAATCTGTTCCGCCCCAATCATGAGAAGTTCATGATTGCAGACACTTGCCTGTGCCAATAATTTCAAAATCTAAAACTGGTGGGGTTTTTGCAAGTTTTGCAAAATATTTTGCAAATCTGGCTCTGAGTCCCTTTGAATGGTTTAGGCTGAGACAGTGGGACTGAGGTCCAAGACCTGTAATCACTCCCAGGACATGACTCCTTGAGCCCTCAAATGGTTCTTTAGGGTACAAACAGGAGACCAAGATATTCACTAAAGCAATGAGAATGTTCTAGTGTCTCTGAGTGTGGGCCCGAGCACTGTGATCAAACAAACTGCTTGGCCTATTAAAAACACTGAAAGCAACACATTTTTGTTTTGCAACATAAGAGAGGGCAGGTTGCCAAGTACTTGGATATAATGTGGAATCCATAAAAATCAATCCTGCTCTCTGTCACTTTCTTCATATTGGATTAACCCTATAGCATCAGAAATGCCACAAAAGAATTACATACTCTGTACTGGGAATTTTTCTTCTCGGCGACTTTTTGTAAAAATGACAAATCAGTTTTCAGTTTCAGTTTTCTCTTCTGTATGTAACTGGCCCATAGGTAGAAGGTGTGAGAAACCTCATTGCATTTTTCTACTGAAGAGGTACCTGCTGGAGACAAAAATTAAAGTTAAATTAACTAGAACAGAAAATGCCTAAGGGCTATTTTCTTCCTTTAAAGTGAAATTTGACTTGTAATTAAAACACACTTTGTTTTGTAGGAAGAAGGACGTTAGGGGATACTTTTCTTTTTTTTTTGAGACGGAGTCTTGCTCTGGTTCGAGTGCAGTGGCGGGATTTCAGCTCACTGCATCCTCCGCTTCCTGGGTTCAAGCAATTCTCTTGCCTCAGCCTCCCGAATGGTTGGGACTACAGGCATGAGCCACCACTCTCGGCTTATTTTTGTATTTTTAGTAGAGATGGGTTTTCACCATCATGGTCAGGCTGGTCTTGAACTCCTGACCTCCTGATCCACCTGCCTCAGCCTCCCAAAGTGCTGAGATTACAGGTGTGAGCCACTGCACCCAGCCACTTTTTAAAATTTGGTTTTTAGTCAAAATCTTCATCACTCACTCTTTTTCCTTCCCTCCCTATTTTTTTTTTTTTTTTTTTTTGGAGACAGAGTCTTGCTATTTCGCCCAGGCTGCAGTGCAGTGGGTACAATCTCGGCTAACTGCAATCTCCGCCTCTTGGGTTCAAGCAAGTCTCCTGCCTCAGCCTCCTGAGTAGCCGGGATTACAGGCACGTGCCACCATGCTCCGCTAATTTAAAAAATATTTTTAGTAGAGACAGGGTTTCATCATATTGGTCAGGCTGGTCTCAAACTCATGACCTTGTGATCCACCTGCCTTGGCCTCCCAAAGTGCTGGGATTACAGGTGTGAGCCACTGCACCCAGCCTCTTCTTTCCTTTTTTTCTCTCTCCCAGTTGAAACATGGAAGATAAAAGGCAGGAAGAAAACCAGTGGGTATTTTAACATTCCATTTTAAAACTGTTGAAGTAATAAGAGGTAATTTTCGGTAGACTTATCCTATCCAAGTCAAGGTTTGAGAAGCCTGTGATCCCTCAATCCCTGGGAAGGCTATTCCCTATTTCACAGGCGAAGAAACTGCAGCAGAGAGAGGCCAAGGTCAGACAGGTCAGAGGATAGAGTGTGACTCAGGGTTTGCACTTCCCTTCCAGGCAAGGGGACTCCAAGAACAACATACGTGGTCTCTAGCCCCGTCTTCAGAGGGCCGCCTTCTGTCTTCAGGCTGCCTTCTTTCTCTTCTGCGGTTCTGAGGCCTTTGTTTCCTTCCTGCTCTGCTGACTGAGGACCCCAGGAAGCCTGGCTTCCTGTCATGGACTGTTCGAGGAAGGCGTGCAGGGCTGCAGAGTCAGCAGACGGTGCACCGTGGAAGAGCATGCAGCGGCCAGAGGGCCAGGGCAGAGGCTGAGCCACGCAGGCGCCTGTGCACACAAACACACACACGCACGTTCACACACACAAACACACAGACCTAAACACTCACACACCTTCGCACACTCACATTCACATACACACTCATTCCCAAACGCCTCACACACATACACATGCACATTCACACACACACATGCATGTTCACATACACTCACACACACAGATGTAAACATGCACACTCACACACTCACATTCACATACTCATTCCCCACACGTCACACACATACACATGCACGTTCACGCACACACACACATACACGTTCACATACATACACAGATGTAAACATGCACACTCACATTCACATACTCATTCCCCACACGTCACACACATACACATGCACGTTCACACACACACACACATACACGTTCACATACACACACACAGATGTAAACATGCACACACATTCACATACTAATTCCCCACACACGTCACACACATACACATGCACGTTCACACACACACATACACGTTCACATACACACACACAGATGTAAACATGCACACACACTCATCACACATTTACATACACTCACTCTCACATTCACTCTCATTCACACCTACATTCACACACAACACATACACGTTCACACACACACATAAACACACTCCACACTCAAAACACACACTCATCCACACACATTCACATACATTCACTCGCACACGTTCACACTCCCATTCATACCTACGTTCACACATAATACATACACGTACACAAAGACGTAAACACACTCCACACACTCAAACACACTCATACACACTCTTCACATTCATATACCCATTCCCACACACGTCACACACACACACATGCACATTCACATACACTCACACACAAAGACGTAAACATGCACACACACTCATCCACAGTCACTCACACACATACTCTCACATTCACATTTGCATTCACACCTACATTCACACACACACATGCACATTCACACACACACATGCACATTCACACACAATACATATATGTTAACACACACAGATGTAAACACACTCATCCATACTCATTCACACGTTCACACACATATGCATGTTTGCACACACTCATACATGTTCACAAACACAAACACAGATGTAAACATTTACACACACTCATCCACACACAAACACACGTTCACACAAATACATGCAAACATTGACACACTCATGCTCTCAGACACACATTCACACACATGCTCACTCACATGTACACACATACATACACACACACACACACACACACACAGGGCACATCTGACTAGGAGAGAGAAAGAAAAGTGGTGGATTGAAAGTGTACTGAGAAGCTAGAAGCAGCCACTTGATTCATCTGGGGAGGCCAGAAATGCTGCAAACTTCTACTTACTTCCTCTGAGAAAGGTTCCTGCTTTCATTAGGAAGAAGAAAAATATAGAGCAGCTTCTTTGTTAAACATATCCACTGTGTTTTAAATTTTTATTTTGTTTTTATTTATTTATTTATTTTTGAGACGGAGTTTCGCTCTTGTTACCCAGGCTGGCGTGCAGTGGTGTGATCTCGGCTCACCGCAACCTCCGTCTCCTGGGTTCAGGCAATTCTCCTGCCTCAGCCTCCTGAGTAGCTGGGACTACAGGCATGCGCCACCATGCCCAGCTAATTTTTTGTATTTTTAGTAGAGACAGGGTTTCACCATGTTGACCAGGATGGTCTCGATCTGTTGACCTCGTGATCCACCCGCCTTGGCCTCCTAAAGTGCTGGGATTACAGGTGTGAGCCACTGCGCCCGGCCCTAAATTTTTATTTTTAAAATTTAATTTTATTTTTTTGAGACGGAGTGTTGCTCTGTCGCCCAGGTTGGAGTGCAGTGGTGCAATCTTGGCTCACTGCAACCTCTGCCGCCCAGGTTCAAGCGATTCTCCTGCCTCAGCCTCCCGAGTAGCTGGGAATACAGGCGTGTGCCACCATGCCCATCTAGTTTTTGTATTTTTAGTAGAAACGGTGTTTCACCATCATGGCCAGGCAGGTCTTGTACTCTTGACCTCAAATAATCCGTCTGCCTCAGTCTCCCAAAGTGTTGGGATTACAGGCGTGAGCCACCACGTCTGGCCTTCTTTTAGCCTTTTCTTATTGTGAAATATGACACACTACAGAAAAGTGTATGAAACAGAGATGCCTCATTATTTTATCACACAGCGAAGAACCATGTCACAAAACATCAGGTCAAGAAATGTACCATCATGAGCAACTCGGACCCTCACTCATGCTTCCCATCACCTTTTGGAGGCAACCACAGTCCTAAATTTTATGGCAGTTGTCTCCTTGCTAAGCATGTGTCTGTCAATGCTGTAGTTAAGTTTGTTTGCCTTTTTTTTTTTTTTTTTTTGAGATGGGGTCTTGTTTGGTTGTCCAGGCTGGAGTGCAGTGGAACAAACTCAGATCACTGCAGCCTCCACCTCCCGGGTTCAAGCAATTCTCCTGTATCAGCCTCCTAAATAGCTGGAATTACAGGTGTGTGCCACCACACTCCGCTAATTTTGGTATTTTTTAGTAGAGATGGGGTTTTGCCATGTTGGCCATGCCGGGCTTGAACCCCTGGCCTCGTGATCTGCCCGTCTAGGCCTCTTGAAGTGCTGGGATTACAGGCAGGAGCCACCACTCCTTGCCTGCTGTGGGGTAATTCATCGTATGAATATGGAGGTTTGCTTATTCCACTGTTGAAGTACATCTGGGTCTGCCTCCCTCCAACTTTTGGCTATTATGATTCATACTGCTATGAACACTCATAGAATATTCTTATACAAATACTCATGTCTTTTGAGACACAGTTCACATAATTCCTGGAGTGAAATTGCTGGGTTATAGAGGATGTTCAACGTCAGTAGATACTGGCAAACAGTTTTCCAAAGTGGTTATACCAATTTTTTTTTTTTTTTTTGAGACAGAGTCTCGCTCAGTTTCTCAGGCTAGAGTGCAGTGGTGCAATCAATCTTGGCTCATTGCGACCTCCGCCTCCCAGGTTCAAGCAATTCTCCAGGCTCAGCCCCTCCAGTGGCTGGGATTATAGGCACGCATCACCATGCCTGCCTATTTTTTAATTTTTAGTAGAGATAGGTTTCTCTATGTTGGCCAGGCTGGTGTTGAACTCCTGAACTCAGGAGATCTGCCTGCCCCGGTCTTCCAAAGAGCTGGGATTACAGGTGTGAGCCACCTCACCCAGCCGGTTATACCAGTTTAAACTGACTCAGCTGTATTTCAGATTCCATTGCTCTGCATCCTTACCGCTTCTCTGTATTGTCAACCTTTTAAATTTTAGCCCTTCTGCTGGGTTGTGCTGCTATCTCATGATTTTAGTTTGTATTTGTTTGCTTATGAGTGAGGCTGAGCACTTTCAAACACCCTTATCGCTCATTTGGATACCTTTTTTGCTGAATTACCTGTTGATGGCATTTATCTGTTTTTCTTTTTATTGATATGTAAGAATCCTTTATATACTCCAGATCTAAGCCCTTTGTTATACGTGCTGCAAATATCCTTTTCCACTTGTGACATGAAGTTGCACTCTTTTAATAATGTTTTGTAGTGTACAGAATTTCTTAATTTAAATGTAGTCAAATTAATTTTCTTCTTCTTTTTGGTTATTGATTTTTGTGTCCTGTTTAATAATTCTTTCCTAGCTTCAGGTCACAAAGA